AATGCCTGGAATTATGCCGACATCACAGCGTTATGACTATTGCTATATTCACAGTCAAGAAAAAACATCGGAGAGGTTGACGAGGACGCTCGATACAGAAGTTCCGTGAATCATTGTGACAAAGTGTGGTCAAATTGCTAAAATCTCTAACAAAATTCAAGAAGGATAAGTTTAACAAGTGAGCTCATGAGCAAACATATAATACACGTCAGGGAACGAAACAAAATACAAACATAGACAAAATAGCCGCATAATTAACCGATTCAATCTAGAAAAATGTGAGATCGTGAGATACCTCAAAGGCACAGTTCACGATGATTTTGAAGTACCCTTTTTGAGTTGAAAACTGGAAGTGTTGATGGGGAACAGTGCATTTGTGGCCAAAAAAAATTTTTCTCAAAGGTATGAGGAAATACGGAAGTTGGACAAGAGTACCCCAAAACCCTCATTCCACTGTCGTCATGGGTCACGACTAGTTGTTAGAATTTCCAACGTGTGTGCTCCACTGTGATTGGTGCAGCCTGTACAACGCTGTAAAACACGTCTACCTTTGGTCGCGGACGTCGATGAAGCTGATAACAGAAGTGGAAGAAGTTCTTATGGTTGATTGCCCAAAACGCTTTTTTTAACGAAAAAACATATATTGCTGTCTCGCAGCATCAAACTGTAAACACCTTATTCAGCCCGTCTCCCCGCTAATCGATGAACCCCACTTTTCTATTGCCTGCAGTGCTTTTTTGCTCATTTCTAATTATTTTTAGCCTTATTTTTGTTTTCGTGTAGAGTGTGTTCGTGTAGCGAGAGTTCTTAAGGGAATGAGGCCTTAAAAGACCAACTATTGGCATCCAACTATTCATCGCAAATCTGATTCACTAATTGCGCGCTGCGAGTGATACGCCGTCCGGGAAGGAGTACCCACACCCCGATAGGTTCGACCTAAAGTGAATTTCTTAGGGAATTTTTCTCGTGAATTATGCCTCGCAGAGAAAAATAGTAAAGTCGCGTAGACAGACACGCTACTGACAGATGGACACATCAGGCGTGGAGCTGTTAGAATCAGGATCATTTCCTTTTTTATAACGCACGATAAGTTTGTGAGCAGCTCGTAACGATTCGCGGATATCTTCGATTTCCTGCAGAATTTCTTCTTTCGCCAAATTTACTTTCTGTACAGATCGTCGACAAATTTGCATCACTGAAAACATTACAGCTCATACAGTACAGTAACAAAAAACGCCAAAAACTGTGATCCACTGCCGCTAAGTGGGGATTGCATACATACAGTATGGTGGAACCCTCGTGCTGTTATTCCCTGCCACAAATGCCATATCGTTTTGCTTGGTTGCTTTGTTGTTGTTATTCTTTTGCCACGTTATATGCTATTGTTCTCTTTGAATTTTCAACTTACACATGTATGTACTCCAGTGTGGATGGCGCAGCCCCTTCGTGGCCGTTGAAACACTGTCATCTCTCTGTGTGGTATACACTATGGGTAAATGTTCAGACCTTCTTGCGTCCTAGCTAGACCGTTTTTCGACAATGATGTCCATATGCATACTTGGAGGCTAAGATTCATTCTGAGGTAATCCCAGAATGAACTTTGATCCCACACTGTGCTTCAAGTTACGAATTTTTCGGGAAAAGCGTCAACCACTAATTGACGAGTCAAGGGATCACAAGCGAACCAAAAAAAAATAGTTGTCTTCCAAACTCTTGGAGCAAACATGGCTTCATAGCTTTCAGTGGTAAACTTTCAGATTCAAGCACTTCAAAATTGCGCCTTATGAACATCATTTATTCAAAATGAGATCTCACTTTCCCGTAAGACTTGTCAAATCACCTGTATCAACTTCCGACGAAGAGTTGCATCTATCAGCCCGAGATAATNCGTGCTGTTATTCCCTGCCACAAATGCCATATCGTTTTTCTTGGTTGCTTTGTTGTTGTTATTCTTTTGCCCACGTTATATGCTATTGTTCTCTTTGAATTTTCATTACACATGTATGTGCTCCAGTGTGGATGGCGCAGCCCCTTCGTGTCCGTTGA